GTCTCAGTGGCCCTGCGCGGTGGGGGCGTTCTGCCCATGGCCCTCTTGGCTCCCGGCGGCTTGGGCCGTCTGGCATGCAGGCCACTGGCGGCCCGTCACACATATCTTATTTCAGCTTTAGCCCTGCTGTGTAGACATGCCCTACTAAAAGTGCTTGATTTTCAGCAACAGCCCAGCTCTTCCTCTTTGAAGATCAGGCCTTTTCAGGTGTTCCAAGTTGGGCACTCAAACATTGAAGCATATAAAATCACTAGTCACTTTTGAAATATTGGCCAAAAGCTCACGATGCTAAAATAATCAGACATCTTACTATTCTACAGCCACTCTTCAGAAAACATTAAACATACAGCAATGACACTGCTATTTAATGCAAATTATTAGTTGTTCTGAATGATAGCAGATGCTTCCATTGATTAGCTGCCAATAACCTCTAGTTGCACTGACTGCAGGATTCCCAGAAGTTCTGCATTCATTTCAGGCACCTAATAATGTATTCTCAAATGACATCAGAATGCTATCATCCAATTTGGTCCTGCATCTAATGCTCTGTGCCTAATGCTGGCAGGTATAATAGTAATGAATAAATATGCTTTCTATCTTTAAATTAGTAATAATTCCCAGAAAAAATACTAAATAAAGATAACATACCAAATGGGTTCCTGCATGGGTCAGTTTTGGGACTAGTTCTGTTCAATATCTTCATCAACGATTTAGGCTATGTCTGGACTATGCTCTATTTTTGAAAGATATGCAAATTCCTGTGGAATTTGCATATCCTCTTTTGAATATAAAACGTAGTCTAGACGTGTCCAGAGTCAGGCCTTCGTATCCTGGTTTTGCACTTTGCACTGTACCAGACGGAGCTTACGTCGGATCTCCTCTGTAAAAAATGAGGGGGAAAAACATCCAGACTACTATCACTTTCGAAAGCTCTGCTTTTGAAAGTGAGATCAGAAGAAGATATGCAAATTCCCACGGAATTTGCATATCCTCTTTCAAAAATAGAATGTAGTTTAGATGTACCCCCAGATAATGGCATGGTGTACTGTCACAGGGTGTCTCCTGCTGGAAGCTCTGGGGAATTACAGGCAGTCCCCGACTTACGCGGATCCGACTTATGTCGGATCCGCAGTTACGAACGGGGCTGCCCCGGAGTACACGGACTGCGGGA